CACATGATCCACAAACTTAGGTGGCACTTTTTTTAAAAAGCCTCAGAATTAAGTTCCAATAATTGTTAATATTCAGCCCTCCAAAAAGCTAAAAGAATACTCAAGCTGCCCAATTGTTTCCTACAGTGGTACTCACATACCAACAACAAAAGAGAAGCTGTGAATCTGCTTAGGACAGCTATTCCATGACTTTGGACCAACACTGAAACAACACAAAAATGTAAAGAAGCAGTCATCTTCTCAGGGCCGGTATCTATTAACAGAGTAAGGAAACCTGGTGGCACATTATTGAACAGTTATACTGACCAAGAAGTGATGCTGGATTCTTCATGGGAAACACTATTTGTATTGGGTTTACATGGCAAGGTTTTGGTAGCAGGGGGGCTGTAAGGGTGTCCTCTCTGAGGAGAGGCCAGAGGCTGCCCTGTTCTGGACACAGCTGTTTCCAGTTGGCTCCAGCTGACCCACTGCTGGCCAAAGCTGAGCCCAGCAGCCAAAGTGGTGGCCCCTCTGGGAAAATATATCTAAGAAAGGGGAAAATACCAGACAGTAGAGAGGAATGAGAGGAAAAAAAGTAACAGCCCTGTAGACACCAAGCTCAGAGAAGGAGGAGGTGCTGCTCCAGGCAATGGAGCAAACATCCCCCCAGCCCATTAAGGCGGCCGTGCTGGAGCAGATAACCATACTCAGCCAATGGAGGACCCCACACCAGAACAAGTGGATATTTTCTGAAGGAAGCTGTAGCCTATAGAGATCCCACAGGCTGAAGTAGGTTCTTCTGACAGGAACTACAGCCCATGGAGTAGACTCATGCTGGTACAGGGACAAAGTGTGAGGAGGAAACAGCAGCGGAGGTGCTATGGACTGATAGCACCTCCCTATTCCTCATCCCCACTGTGCCACTCCAGGGTCAGGACTAAAGGAGTGAAGTTAAGCCTGGGAAAGAACAGGTGGAGCACAGGAAGATGTTTTAAATGGTCTTTGTTTTTACCATTCAAATCAATTTTAATTGGCAATTTTCTTCAACTCTGTTTTACCCATGATGGTAACTGGTAAGTGATTGCCCTATCTCGACCCACAGATTTTTCCATCTTATTTCCTCCCCCATCCTGTCGCTGGAGAGTGAGAGAGCAGCTGGGTGGGCATTCAGCAGCCAGCCAAGTCAACCCACTGCACTATTGCATGACATGACCTACTTCCCAGGAAGTTTCAGGTAACCTGGCAAACATGGGTTAAAAGTGATTGTTAGATGACACAAAATACTTAAAATTAAGTTATGACTATGTAAACTTAGGACTTGAAATATTCACACCTCTTGCTTGTCATGCTGCCAACTCCCTGATGTAGAAGACGCAGCTGCAAATGCAGGAAGCCTGTCAGTTTACCCACATCACCTCTTTGAGGCAACTAAACTGACTCCTGACAGCACCTACAGTCTGCGCTAACACTGCCAGCATGGCTGTTACCCAAGCAATTGCCTACAGTTTCTCCTCTTTCATCTCTCTCCAGAGAAGGGAGGTGGGGGGCAGCAGAAGAAATCAAAAGCCCATTGAAAAAAAAAAAAAAGAGGAGGAATACCCTAGCCCTCCATCCTCAAGACAGCATCAACTGTACCTATGCTTCTCTGAAGGTTTTCAGCAGCAGGTGGAGAGACTGACACACCTATACAAAGTTCTCATAATCCTTAAGATTAGGTTAGGAGAACGCTTTATCTCTCCCTTGCTAGAGTTCAAGTTTACCACTCTATTCATCAAGACAACACTGTTCTCTTTGTAGTAGCCTACATATACTTGGACTGATGTCAATGCCTTTAAGTCCCTGCTTAAGCTAAGCCACATGAGCATGCTCTGTTCACACAGGTCTTAATCTACAAAACAGAGCTCTTCACTTTCTTATATTATTCACCTTGAGCATCTCTTCAGTTGGTTCACAACCGTTTTGAAGTACTCCATGAAAAACTGATGCAATACTCCCAACTTAACCATTGTGGAGTAGACTTCCATGTTTCACAACCTATAGTCTTGTTCATATATTGAGCAAAAATATCTATGTACTCTGGAGGTTTTTTTTTCTTAAACAGTTTTTATATTTGTCTCTAGAGTATACTACATTTCTCTTGCTGCTGAGAGTATCAGATGAAAGTGTAAGAAACTCTAATAAAGAAAGGAGAAGCAGCAGATTTGCTGTCTACAAGAAAGGTTACATTCTGTAGAAAAGAAATTAGACTAGTTTGACATTACTTGATAACCCCATGCTGATAATTAGTTATTTCCTTGGGATCTTCCAGATGCATTGCTTTTGACTAAACTGAAAAAGTTAACAGCTTCATCTTTGAGTTTGATTTAGCTTTGAGTAAAACAATTGTTCTCATTTTACTTCATGTTGAAGAAAGCTTACTCTTCAGAGAAAAAAGGCTTTGGCTTTGTTTAACAAATCACATGCTAATAGATATTTAGCAGTAACAAAATAATTAAAGCAAGAATATAGGAGGACACTATGCAAGACAGTATGATTATAGAAGTCTGAATGTAGATACTAAGTTCACACTGTAAAAGACCTCTGAGACTAAGTGCTGCTCCTGAACATGTTATTCTGGTCAGTCCCAGAGTCTGCAACTCCCATAAACCTGACCATCCCAAACACAAAATAGAAATAGCGTTCTCTATCTAGTACTTGCCTCAAAAAATGGAATTTCTCTTGAAGTCTGAGAAATGGCCACATTCTTGAACAATAATATACAAGTTGCACTAAAGATGGAATTATTGTAAAGCAATAAGCTAAGCTCCAAGATAACTTCTGCACTTCAGAAGCATTATATGGATATTAAAAGATTTTCTTCTTTTTGTAAGAGTCACTAATTGAAAGACTGATAAGTTACACATGTGCAAAGACAACTGAAGTGCTATTAAAGTAACAGTAAAACAGTCCTGCAAGAGTTAAGATGTTACTAAGTGATAGACATTATCATTTTCACAGGACAGCTCAAGGAAAAGTCAAAGTAAACAAGTTTTGTAACATGCTTCATAGCATAACCCTATCCTAAGTGAAAATCTGTCAGGAAAAATTACCCACCTGCAACTTCCCTTTAGTCTGCGATTAAGTCAACAATTCACAGTGACTTGTCACAGTTACTGAGAGAATAAAAAGCGTTCAAAATCACAAGAACAAAGGGACACTAGAATACCATCTTGATCAAAAATGATAATCTGTTAGTAACCAATGATCTTGTACACTATCCTATGAGAACACAACGAACCGTTAAGTTCTACAGACACTAGGTATGGCCAATGTATTTCTCAATTTTAAGGTTAATGTGAAAAGTTAAAGAAACAACACAAGCTATTTTGAACCAAAAGGAAGCATCCAAAATGTTAAACTGAAAAGTTAGGGATATTTGTCCTTTCATTTAAAGGGCTAAGTCTAGATTTCTAATAAGTCATAGAAAGATAACTCCACTAAGAATTTCACACTGAAAGCTTTTGTTCAATTGCAATTTCAACCCATTTCCATTGGTACTCAGCATTAACAGTAGCAATGACGTTAGAGGAAATTGCTTATAGCCCCCTTGCCCCACCCCCCCACTTCCAAAGGGCAGCTTACCATTTAAAGCTATACTAAAATTTCTTTCTACATCTAGTTGGTAAAAAATACTTTATATGGCAAAACTGTTCCATAAAAATACTGTTATTTAAAACCAGTTATTTACTAAAATCAAAGTCCTAAGATCAAAAAGAGACCAAGATCACAGCCTTGCCCAGTAACAGTCCCTTTTGCACTGGTTAAGTATCAAGACATAAGTTCTATGTAGCTAGCTTACTACTGATCAATTACTTGGCAAGATGGTCATTCCAGATGCATATATTCTCAAAGTATCTCTCACTTCGCCTGGCCACCTGTAATTTAGATTAACCTAAGCTACCTGACAGCTATAGAATTCTTCCTTCTCTTCTTTCCATTTTCACATTCCTGAGAAAAAGGTAAGATATTCAGATTTTCTATGGCAGTGGCTCAACAGTAAATCAGCTAGGGCTTGCTCCTTTTCAATCTTAAACATATTTTAAGCAAAGTAAAAGGTTTTCCAACAGCTCAAACAGAGTTTGATATAGGGCTGTCATTGTGTAGTATAATAGTAGTTAAAAAATAAGCAGTTGATATTCAGAATGGTAATTGATAAACTTGATGTACGATGTATATGGGAAGAAGAAAGCTGCAAGTTATTCCAATTCAAGTCTCAAAAAGTGAGAAAAAGTTTTACCTTTAGAGGTCGGATAGCTTCACAGAACTTTGTCCACCAGCTTTTCTCAATAGATTCCAGGTGCCTCTCTCTTCTTCGAAGTGTTCTTAGTCTCTCTTCTAGTTGTTGTACAGCCCGCCTATCCCTTGATGACAGAGGTCGACCATCTCTGCACTGGTTACCAAAAAAAGTGCAAGAGATCAAGAGACACTGAACCAAGAAAATAGACTTGACATCTAGTTTAATGGGTTACAACAACTCTAAAGACTTTGTAGTATATAATTCACACTGGTTTTACGCATAGTAAGAGGATGAAGTGCAGAAGTCACAAGCTGCAACAGGGGGAAATCCTGTTAGGTGGTAGAAAACACTCTTTACAACGAGGATGTTCAAACTTTTTAATAGGCTGAACAGTCTCCATGGCTAGAAATGCTTAAAATGCCCAAATGTGACCTGAATAACCTGATCTAACCTGAAAGGGGTCCTTGCTTCGTGTAGAGGGTTGAACCCGATGACTTTCAGAGGTCCCTTCCAATCAGACTCCATGACTAAGCCAATATATCAAGCTTCGCATCTGTATTTTCTTTCCAGTATTCCACTACAGATACTCAGCTATGTTTCTTGTACTTGCAAGAGCAAAGTGACTTGCTGTTCCAAAAATTAACCTTACAGAAATCCAAACAAGAGGCACCATTACCCCAAGAATTAGTTGAGTGTACGAGATAATTGTTTGTTTGATGATTATGTTTAAGAATGTACTTTAATTCTGAGCCTCTAAACACTGAGCAGGCGCCATCACACTGTTGTAAATGGAGTGGCACATCCTTAAATCTCAGTTATACACTAATAAGCAAAAGCAACAAAATGGCCATCAGGTAGCAGAAGCAAAATTGTTTCTAACATTGTATAACAAACTGAGCCTTAGATAAAGATTCTTATACTTTTACTACATCTTCTACTACACTTTTTTAAGCTTTGAACTTCCCTGTTCAATTTTTTTATCTCTTATTTTAAAATAGCCTTCCTCTAAATAGTGAAACAGTTCACACTCAATGAAGTTAAACGAAATCTATTTTACAGAAATTTCTCAGAAAGGTTACAAGACTAAGACCCCATTCCAGGCACACGTAACAAATTGGAGATCACAATGTACTTGTAACAAGAACACATATTCTCCATACCCTGCATAGCACCTCAGTGACGTGAAAAAGACTTTTTGAAAACAACCCAAGCTCCCAAGCCGCAAGCGCAAGGTTCGAATATTTAAGACTAAGGAAATAAAGCTACCAGCTATACTAGTAACAGAAGACCATACTACATACTGAATCTCTGCATTAGATTAAGTAGCATACTTTCATACTTCTAGTTTTCACCGTATATTACTCTTAGTAACACTCACCTTCTTCATGACTTCATGCAAATATAACTGAAAAACTCAGATTACAACTACAGACTGAGGCACAATCCTGACCATAATCCATAAACCAAGAAAAATTACTTTATAGTAATGGTCATATTAAAGTATAGACATAACTCAAAGACTTCCTACTTTTTGATCCTGTTTGTTAGCTAGATCAAACAAGACCAGTTGCTTGCAAGCTCTCATAATCCAGTCTTCTGTAGGAAGTAATGCTCCATTTTTCAGGGGTTTCTCATTTTTCTTGTATTGATTTCAGTAATACAGATGCCTTTGTTGTAGTAGTACTCTTGTAAAAACCCAAAACTGTACAATTTAAACTGGGGGAGACTACTTTCCAACTTTCCTTATGCAACAAGAGTTCTAGAACACTGAAGATACCCACACCATGTAGAGGCAGCCAAGTATCAAGGGAAGACTCTTGGAACTGTTTCAATGCTGCCGAGGTCTACTATCGCAGAGCACGCAACAGCACAGATGGACTGCCAGGACGAAAGCAATACATCTTAATGTCCCCTTCAACCCACTCAGGGCTGTGAAAACACTAGTCAAACCATTACCTCAAATAGCTTGGTAAAAGGGTGGGAGATTATCCCTAGCATCTTCTATGTAAAGGAGAAATCTTACCCTCCTTCAGCTTGTGCTCTTAGGTTGTTAAAAGTGTCTTGCTTACATTAGGCACAGTATTTCAGTGAGCTGCAAAGCCATCATGGGTTTACAAATGGTGTTAACATCCCAGGGTTGTTTAGGATTCAGAATAGAGATCTCCATATGTACACGTTTCATAAAGAAATGATTTATAACAGCAAGGTACATTAACTGGGAAGGAAGAATATCTGGGGCTGTTATTTATTCATAAAGATGATTAATAGTTTCACAAATGTAACTCATGACAGCTCCATGTGGAAAGTATCCAGCGGTGATAACCACATTGAGTGAGTATCAAACTGGATGCTATACCTGGTAGCAGACTAAGTGAGGTTAATATCCTTAACTTCTACAAAGAATCTCTTCCATATATCCAAGCAGGACTGGAGAAGTTTGAGTTTAGCTCATCAGCACCATTATTAGCTAGATAGAAATAACTACTGCTGCAGGACTGATAAAGAAAACCTTACCCCTGCTACACAAGTGACCACATTTGTTTCCAGATAACTCAAATAACCAAAAGCTAGTAATTTCTGACTTGCTATTCTTTCTGGAACAAAAACTCTACAGCATGACCAAACTAGTAAGCAAGTAAGAAAAAAAATTCATTACGAAAGTGAGAATAGTGAAGACCATACCTTTGATTTAATCCTTAATAAATGTTGCTCCACTTCTTCAATATCTTCAGTGTTCTCTAAACGTTCATAGGTTGCACTGGTAGTTCCCTTAATCAAGTTTAGAGGCAAGGCTGACATGCCATAAGCCTAAAATAAAAAGGAAACATTCATACTCAAATTTTCTGCCATACGTTTTCATCTGATAAGGCTGCTGACTGTTGTAGCTATAAGGTATCACTGCTGAGTTTTTTCTGCCCCACCCCTCCTTCTACAGACTTGTACTACAGACAACCAATTCTTTTCCTTTGAGGAAAACATAACATGCTATGCAGATGCCAGCATCCCACATTGTTTCAACAGTACTTAAGCATCTCACGATCACTGAGACAACAGCATGTGTTAGGACTTCATAATAAGCATAGCTCAATGAAGACTTGTCAAGCTAGCCCTTGGGTTTTTTTGTCAAATCGTTTAGCTTCCCAAAATCTTAACTTTCCCATTTTAGATAAGCAAAACATTGAATTTCTAGAACAGATTTCAAGATACTGAACTTCAATAGTTTTAGAAGCAAAGTATATACAATTGCCTTCAACTTATTTCTAAAATGAAGTTACGTAGAAAATACTTGATTTACTAAAAAAAATTCTGCAGTAAAAAGATGCAGCAGTAGCTAGGTGAACACCTAAATTCAGGTTACATTCCAAGACTGTCCAGATACCCATTCACATTCATAAATTTTGCTGGTATTTACTCCTAGTTATAAATCCCACACCATTCAAAGTGTTTGCCAGCTTCTACATCAACACCATGCCCAGATTTTTCCAATTCAAAGTCTGTAAGCTTTCCACTAACAAGAAACAGATATCTGAGGCCAGGTAAACAAGAAGAAAATACCACTATCTCCTCTCCCTGCTACACTACGAGTCTTGTAGATCTAGGCCAAGGTCGGAAGTTTCTCCAAGCAGTTTAGAGACATTAGCCATAGGCTTTTTATTCGTTTTACTGTGGGTGAGAGGCTGCTGGTGACAGGTTGTTCTTGCTGCAGAGCTTAGCAGGAAGGTTGTTTTTTTCATTCTCTTAATCACAATTAACAAATGCAGTTTTACTAGAGTGCTTGCTATCTGAACATCCGCTAGCTTCAGAAATGAGCTGTTTTTTAGATTTTCACTGGAATATCACTCCCTCCTTTGAGCACAGCTTTACATTTCATACTGAGAATAGATTTAACACAAATGCTAGTGTGTTATAAATGTCACCATACATGCTGTCAGATCACGTGTGCTTTCTGTGCACAAGACTTGAGTTGACCCGCTTAAGAGCCCACTTAGACATGCTAACATCTGATGCGTTGTACTCAAACCAAAAAAATGGACAGTGTTTTGCTTTATTTTTCAACATGACATATACCCTGCCATGAACACCCATTTCTAAGCCCCTTTAACAAAGGGATCTTATTTATAGAACTGTTATGTTTGGAAGAGACCTCAAAGATCATCAAGTCCAACTGCATACCCAACACCACCATGCCCACTAAACCCACTAAACCATGTCTTGAAGCGCCACATCTAAATGTTTTTTTGAACTCCTCCAGGGATGGTGAGTCCACCAGCTCCCTGGGGAGCCTGTTCCAATGCTTAACGACTCTTACAGTGAAGAAATTCTTCCTAAAGAAGTTCTTCCTAAATTTACTATTGTTGTAGCCCAAAACCACATTAACTATTTAAATTAATAATAATTTCAATATAAATATCTGACACTGAGCCCACAAACTTCAGTTTTACTCTGCAAGCCTCAATATTCCATGATTTCTTGAAAGATTCCTCCAAGTATTAGGCTACGAAAGCATGAAACAGAAGTTTAGCAGTCTGACAGCCCTGCTCACTTACTGTGGAATTAGGTTTATGTTCAGAGTGACAATTACCAGTAAGTTGTTGGAACAGTGTCAGTTATTTTCAACAAGACAGCATATGTGTCTCTCAACAGGCTTCAAACTCAAAGAAACAGCAGCACCCATTATATCACTTTAAAGCATTTAAATAAGAGTAGGAGAAAAGTATTTTCCTTGAAATATTTCTTGAAGTATATATTAGCAAAGAACACATTCAGCTAGATCTTTGACAACTTGCACTACCTGAATTTTTTGCATAGCTATAAAGTATTGGAATTGGTTTTACTATAGACTCCTAGAGAATAAGGTAGGCTATTAGCTATCTGCTCAGCATTTCAGGACTCCACAGCTGACAACCTCATTTGTCACCCAAAAATACAGCTAAAAAAAAAGTATTTGCAGCACTGTTTACTGAATGTTCCAAATAAAGTTAAACTGCATTTGAGCTACAAAAGGTAACTGGCAATTGCAATCCCTATGTTAGAGCTTTCTGCTGTAAAAGCTATACAAGGGAAAGACAGCTCTTATCACAGGCTAGCGATGGCAATGAAATTTCGTGCTTTCCAAGACATTCTAGAAGGTCTGGTTCGAACACAGCTATACAACCACAGAAAGGCCTACCTACAAGATTAAGTATTTTAGATAATGAAAATAATTTAGCTTAGGCTGGACTTTACAACTCTGTCCATAACTGTGGCTCAGTTCTCCCTTTACAGTATTTCCTTTGAGACTATTAAGCTGCTTTGCTATCTACAGGAGCTAAAAAGCAGTCTCCTCCAATTCTCCTCTCCTCTAGGCTGAAGAAAGAATTCCTTCAGTCTTTATGGACTGCATTCTCCAACTCTCTAATCACTTTCACAGGCCTCCACTGGAGGCTCTACAGTTTTCCAGTTTCTTAAACTGGGGGACCAAAACCAGACACAGTATTCCCAGGTGTGGCTTTGGAAGTGCCAAGTACAGTGGAATAATCACGTCCCTTGACTTACTGGCTACGCTCCTGCTGATGCCAGCCCAGGACATTGTTTGCCCTTCTGCTGCAGGGCACATTGCTGGCTCATGCTCAGCTTGCTGTCCCCTGGGACTTCCAGGTCCTTTCCAGCAGAGTCATCCCCCAGCCAGTCAGATCTCAGCATGAACTGCTGCTTGGAATTAATCCATTCCAAGAGAAGGCCTTAATATCTGCTAAACCTGATGCCATTCTTGTTGGCTCAGTTTTCCCACCTGCCAAAGTCTCTATGATGGCTCTTCATTCTAGCTGTAACTACTTCTCCCAGTTTGATATCATCTTCAAACTACAGAGCTATAAACTCAACCCCATCATCCAGATCATTTATGAAGACTGAATAGTATTGGGCCCATATTGACCCTTAAGAGCTCACTCAGGTCTGGCTACTAGTAACATTCACTCCAGAATTCAGGTCAAAGTGTAAACACCATCCAATTTCATAACTAGAATGCAGGTTGCAATCTAACCAAGGTCGCTCTGTGGAACCCAAGATACTTCCAGCCAGAGCCAAAGACATTCAGCATGTAGAAACACATATAATGAGAGATTGCTGTGACAAAAGGCCTACACGATTTTACAAACCTAAGCTTAAAAGTCGTTAGATTTCACCATTAAGCAGAGGCTTCCATCTGTCCTTCAAACAGCTACTATCAACTAAGAGATATCAATTATTTACTCAGAAAGAGCTAAGGAATAAAATGCAAAGTTCTAAATTTTCTAAATTTAAGTTTCTACAAAGCAAACTGCAACTCTTAAGTGATGCATTGTTTTGCTGTTTTTGCAGATGTGAATTATGTACTTGAACATCAAGCTTGCTCCAGTGATAAAGGCAATCTAAGTTCCTTCCTTGAATACAAAAGATGCTAATAGTGAGATGATTATGCAAGAAAGCCTCCCATCATCAGAGGGGGAAAAAGCCACATTGGTCCTTCAAGACATGAGTCATCTCATGTGATGTGTCACAGGTCTGAACAGAAGCTGTACTAGCTCAGTTTCAGGGCTGCATTTCCCTTCAGCCTGATATAGTTCAAGGCTGCCCTGAACAAAGTTTTAATCCCCTGGGTTAGTGCAAGTGTTAAGTTATTCATGGGTTATTATTCTAAGCAAGCAACGTATCAAAGATAGCACAGGAAAACCAAAGCTGTACACTAAAGCCAAGAGAGGGCTCAGTCCTGAAACAAGCTGTTGGTTCAAACTTTGGAATACGAATAAAAACAGATCATCACTGAAACAGTTTCCAGGACTTCTTTTTAGACGACCTTTGTCTAGAAGGGTTAAGTCAGAGCAGAGGCACTACACTGAAAAGTAAAAGCAGTCATCCAGATGTAACCAGCAATTACAGCACACATAGTTGGTTTTTTCACATAGGTTCTTCAAAATGAACTGAATCTAGTACTAAACAGCAACTGTTCAGGCTGGTATCTGATAACACATGCTGCAAGGTTAGCTCTTCAATGTCTCAGGCTGGTATCTCTGCTGCTACTGATGCCTGATCAGCTTCATTGAAACCCCACTTTATAGCAAGGAAAAAAAATCTAAACTTCTAGTTAAACAACTTATTTTAGAGAAGATTTCCCTCTCCTGAATCCCCACAAATGATCCATATAAGAGTTCACTCCCTATAAGGTAGCTTAAGGGCTGGAAAGCCAAACCCGAAGAGCTCACTACCTAGTGAGTACAAGTTAGGGGCATCATCCGTGAGCAGCTGTCTCACTCTCATCTGAGAGTCTGCCCACAGGCAATACCGACAATATCTCCGGATGGATAAAGTTCATATTTATACCTCATAGATTTCGTGAAGTATGTGGCCTTCTACTCTAAAGGAGAAGTTAAAAACCAGAACAACTCAAGCAAAACAACAGAAAACCTAGCTTACCTATGCTATAAAAAGAACAGTCTAAACAAAGCTCTTAAGACTTCTGCCTTATTTGTTATTCACAGAAGTGGTAGCTAGGCCCAAGACAGGAATTTGCAAAGAAATCTGTCATCAGTAAAGCAGGAGCCTGTAACTCACAGGAAAGCAACCATTAGTTCAATACTGTTTATGCAGCATCAGTGGGCACTGAAGAGCAGTGAGCAGCATACTCTGGCTGTTCTCTCAGCATGCCATCCAGCCCAAACACACCTGGTGTGCCAGGCAAGCACTAAGATACCGCATTAGAGATTACATGAGCATTGCTTCCAGTTTGCTTCATCTTCCCTTCTCCTGTGCCCTGTTCCTTCCCATCCCATCCGCAGCAGATCCAGCTGTTC